AAAAAAAAAAAAAAAAAAAAGGATAAAGGGAAAAATTGTATATGAGAAAAACAATTTTTCACACTTTGCACGTCGCGAGGCGTCGTCGCTTTGGCAAAAGGATAAAGCAAATAAAGGCAGGACAGCAATCGCGATTATGCAACCTGTGTATGTGTGTCTGTGTGTGTGTGTGCGTGTGTGTGGATGTGTGAATGTTTCTGCCTGTGCGTGTTTGTTATTGTTAACTGCGAGCTTCTAGCTGCAGTCGAGCATGAAGATAAAGTATCTATGTATTTGCCAAATATCAATATGGCATGCGTATGTATAAGACCAAAAATGAGTAGAAAACTTGGCACAAACTCTTGTCTGTTCAAGAACTCGAACACAAACTTGAAGTGTGTATCAAATAAGTATGTCTATCTCTAGCTCTGCCTCTCTCCATACCGCCTACCCATGCTGCTGACATCGCTGCTGTTGATGGGAAATGAAAATATTATGATAAGAGCACAACACAACTCTCGGAAAGTAGAGATTGACAGTGGAAAGGAAGCAGACGTAGTTGCTCGTATCGTTTAAGCTTCTTGCAATGTTTTTGGAATCTAAGCGTAAGCATCTGAGCAATTGCGGAGCCAAAGCTTTTGCATTTCGCCTATGCCTTGTGCCTCCGACTCTGCCTCGAAATTCCAATTTTCCAGCTAAAACTGAGAAACTTGACAGCCAGCGTACATATTTTGTTTGAAAGGCAGCCAAATTTGGAGAAGGCCTATTCAAAATTGAAACTCGTTAGGCTACATGCACACACGTAGTTAGTTGATGTGGCTGTTGCTTGGGAACTGCATTCTCATGTGTGTTAATTTGCGAGAGTAGTGTGTCTTTTTGAGCACCCTGTAATTGTAGAAGCTGTGTGGGGTATATTGTGTTGACGGATACAAGTGTTTTGCTTTACAAATTGGTGGAATGTAGACAGCTGCCCAAATATGTGCAGCTAAGATTAAAGGGTATTTTCAGGCGCATATGCCTGCTTCATAGTATGGGGTATTTACTAGTTGTGCATAGATAGTAGATACAGCCAACTTAAACTAGTTTATTAGGCTTAGTGTATGAAACATTTTGATGCATCGAAGCCAGCTTAATATGAGCGTAGGGAATTCCTAAGTTGTTGGGTTTAGTTCTATTTCAGTTCATGTGCTATTGCTAGCTTGCTCTTATAGTAATTACAGGAAATATACGTTTGTCACTTGCTTTGTAATGTCTGAGTATACCCAATTGGGCATTAGATTATTAGTTTATAAAATACATTGAAAATAGTAATACAAATTTTATAAATTTCTTAGTTAACAGATCCTATCTTGCTTTCGATTAGAGGGTATATTTCACTAAAATACTTTAAAGTCATCTCGCTAATATGATCTATCATATCACTAGGCTTTCTTCATCTTATCGCTTATCTGCAACCTAATGTCAGGGTATATTTTAGTTGTATTCCAGGGCATTTCAGGGTATATTCCAATTGAATACTTATGAGTTGCATAAGTTTTTCTATATACTTGTATACTTTACATACACTTGTTTTTAAACAAATTCCAGGGTATATAAATCGCTTGTCTGTTCGTCAAGATTCATAGGGAAGGTTATCGATATACAATTATTTTCTTGAGATTTTCGAAATGAAACAAATATTTATATATATATTTTTTAAATTTGTCATTTAATTTAATGTATATGCTAAATAATAATTAATTCTGTGCATTACAAAATTTTGCATTGCTTTAATTTTAATTAATAATTATTCAGGCGGAAATTTATGCACAACTCAACAAGGGAAAATAATTTAAAGATTTTGTTCTTCTTGTGAATTTCATTCCAAACAAATTGCTGACCCCTTTATGAATGCATATGACAGATTTTGTATATAAGATATAGACAAACATATACACATAAATGTATGGTATATATGTGTATATGTTTATAGTCCAGTTGATTACTTATATTTCAATTGGCATTGTGTTCATTGTGTGACGACCGAAAGGAAATCCCCAAGCAATTTATACAGCCAATATTCCTCACAGCTGTAGATTAGTTTTAGTTGTTGCTGTTGCTGCTGAGTGCAAAAAGGAAAAGTGGAAAATCAAAGCTGTTCTGTGTCATGGCAGTAGAGCAAAAAAGGAAAACGTCCCAAAACAATTAGCCTGATGTCGCCTGCAGTGCTTTAAAATTAATTTAACTATATTTTGTAATTTAAACAAAAGGCAAAGAGAAACTAGCCTCACACATACATATGCAGTCTATCGGTCGTGTTTTGTGTATTTACTGTAGCGTCTGGTCTTTGGCGTGCGCCATCTCATATTTCTGTTGTCGCACAAATTAATTAAACTATGTTAAATGTTTGCCAAGTTCAAAGAATGCAGCCGACTGAGCATATACCCTTTCCATTCTGGAATTGCTGCCTGTTCAGCTCTAAGTAGTCTTAGCTGCCTCATTTAGCATATTATAAAGACATCGACAGCTACTTCTGTGACGACTACTCCTATTTCCGACTCCTGCCAGCCCCCACCCTCACCGCCTCCTCCTCCTGCTCTTCGCTTTCAAGAGTATTTGCACAGTCTTTCTGCTTCGCTAAGCTTTTGTTATTTACTATTCAATGCGGCACACCATTTGCATTGAAACGCCGTCGCCCGCTGGGTGTGTGAAGGCTGGCAGGCGGGCAAGCGAGGAGGGCTTACAGGTGGAAAGAAATCATTGAAGCATATTTAATGCCATCAAATATTAATATCGTTGTTTGTTTGGCAAACTGTTCAGCTACGTCTTTTTCGGCGCACAGTCTCAACGACATTGCTTGCATATTTTAGGCCTTTGCGTAGTTCAATTTTTTGTCGGCCGACCAGGGCAAAGGGCGGTGAGAGAGCGGCAAGGGGTTATTTGGAGCGGGGCAGTCGAGTCGAGTCGAGTCAAGTAGTTCATCTTTCAAGTATTTCATGGAAATTCTCAAACCAATATTCATGAATTTAGGCCAACAATTTACTGCGTTGCATTGGGAGCTGAGAGGGCTGTTTGAAAAAGTTGCTGAAATATAAATGAGAATCTGTTTGGCTGTGAAATTTTAAAAATCTTTACTCTTCAGTTTTTGTTGAATAACTTTCTATTTATATTGTGTATAAACTGGAAATTTATAAATTGGTTAAGCATATATGAACGTTCTTAGGTATCCGTATTTATATGAGAAGTTTACTAAAAGCAAGTAGATAATGCATAAAAATTTGTAATGATTTCTTATATGTATATAATATATAAAATATCTAATGATTTCTTATACCAATTGCTTAATAGTTGACTCCATTCTAGTTAGAATATATCATTTTCATTTCATTTTACTGTCGGGATACTTATAGATTAAATATTTTCTCAGATTCCAAAATTTGTTTGTCTATACTTGGATCATATTTTTATTTCCAAACTTGTGTTTCTGATGTAGCCTTGATTTAATTTGTTTATTTTAAACATTTAAAACCCTATTCCCAATACCTTGTGTCAAACACATTGAGCAACCCTCTTGAAGATGAAAGTTCTTTTTGAAAACTTTGTAATTAGATTGTATAATTACTCTTTGATTTAAATAGTCGCCGATCAGTTCTGAAAGTTGGTTTACCTTTACAGGCATTGCACGCGTGCTGAGCCAGCAGCAGAAGCTGGGCGAGAAGGTCGTGGTGACGTGTGGCGATAAATCGCATCGCGGCGGCTACCTCAAATACGATCTGGAATTGCGCGAAGCGGACACGGTACGTACCAACACCATCTCCATCAGTCATGTGAGTCGAGTGACGCCCTCTTAATATTTGCCCTTCACATTTACAGATTGTGTTTGCCAAATCGTTTGACATATTCAGTGGGTCAGAGTACACGGCACAGCTGGTGCTGCGCAATCACATTCAGACGGACAAGTACAGCAATCTGGTTAGTTATAGATATAGAAATGCCCCCGCTCACTTCCCCTCTCACACTCTGTGTACTTGCGATAATTGCAGATTGCCCACAATATATCCAAGTGCATAAATCAATTGCATAAAATTGCCGTGGAGGCGTTCACCTGTCGCCTGGTGGCCAAGGATGAGCTCGGCCAAAAGCTGCTGAAGCTGTATCATGTCGAGGCCATATTCGACGTGCACAGCAGCCAGTATGCGTGCAAGCTGGTGCTAAAGTCCAGTTTTACGGATCTGCTCTCCACATTGAAGTCAAACAATGTGCAGCTCGAGCTGGAGGTAAGTAGGCGAGCCAACGAACGAGCCAGCGAGCGGGCTCTGAGTGCTTCTGTACAACAAATGAATGCCATTTGGCTAAAATATTTGCTTTTGGGTTTAATTGCAGGCTGCGATGCCAAATGGCAATTTGGGTACCATGTCGCTGAAAATGGTGCCGGGCATTAAAGTGTCGCTCGAATCGCTGCAGGTGCACGATTTGAAATCCCAGGAGCTGCACATAACGGGACTGGACAAGGCATTGCAAAAGCTGCAGGTGAGTTTAATTGCTGCCAGAGTGACTAAGAAATGGACAAATTCAAGAGGGATCTGTGGGTACATATATCCAGTAAATGACAGTATGTGATATGAAGTGGTTAAATAAGTATGTACAGTCGAGTCTCGATAATTCGCACCTCGCTAAAGCGAAAATCGCGATAAATCGAAAATAATTATAGCCCCTTGACAGAAATTCGTTCTCAATAATTCTGGATAATCTGAATATATGATCATTTCTATGTAAATAATAATAATAATAATAAAAAAAGATTCCCTAGCCATTTCGGATTATCGGCATGCTACTGTACTATATATTTGATATAGTTATATGTCTGTGTATATGTAAAATGTACAATTTTCCTATACTCTCTAGTATGTAGTTCTGGTTCAGGTACAATGTGGTATTATATGATATATTCTATCGCTGCGAGGACGTGGCACGTATGCGTAAAGTGAAGCTTGATTAGAACATTAGACATTAGACTTGAATATCTTCGAATTTCATTTTCACTCATATTCCACATGTGCAAGTGGAAGTCTCTTTTCGCTTGAAGACAACAATTCGTTGCATTTCCACTCGATTCCCACTTGGATAAGCGAATTCATGTATTTAATGACAGTTGCCAGCTAATTTCCATTTGAAGATGTGCATTCTTGTACACAAGTGCAGCGAGGCGGCGTTGCTGCAGCTGCGCTGTTTAAGTATTCATATATACATAGATACATAGATACATATGTGCTTATACGCTACATATGCTGACCAGGATTTCCGTTTGCTTAAAGTCGAAGAAATTGCTCGCTGCACTTTTGTACCTATTTATACGCTCGCCTTGAGAAACAATCATAAGCTCGAGAGCAGCAGCAGCAGCAGCAGCAGCAGCAACGCCAGCAGAAGGACGCACATTTTATGTGGTAATAAAATACAGGAAATTGCTTTACAATGTACGCTACAGTTTTGAGGCACTAGTGGTCGTCGTGGTAGTCGTGGCATAGCCACTGGCGGGCAGCTCTTAAAGTACAATATTATGTACGACAACTGTGGAGAGTGCGTCCAGCCAGACAGACTGGGAGACCGAGATAGAGAGAGACTGAGCGTATTCCATGAATTTGAAAGTTCTTATGGGCTGTCCTTGGCAGTTAGTCGGTCGAGACTATTGTTGCCAATGCTGATGTTGCCGTTGTCGCAAGTAGTTGCGGCTTCTTGTGCTCGAGCAGCAGCTGCCTTGCAATGTCAATGTCCACCCTGAGGACTTGTTACTCCCTTCCTTTCGTTTTTTGCTCCTCTGCTTCGTATTCTTTTCTCTGATGTCATTTGAAAAAATGCAAAATGACAGCATTTTGCTTGACTTCCGTTTCCGGTTAGCTTGAGCCACATTATTATTCGCCAGCTTGCCACTCTGAAATATTGGCCACATCTTGAGCCACTCTAATTATGGTTAAGTGACAACCACCATTCACTCCCCCCTACCCCCTCCCCCTGCTCAGTTGAAATATGCTGCATAATTTGCATTAGCCGCAAATTCGCCAGTTTGGCCAACTTGGCTGCAACTGCATTAACTAACCGCAGCTCCACCGCGCTGCTCCACTGTCTCGCTGGCATGCAAAAAGGACATGCAGAGGACATGCAACACTCGATTGCTCAATTCAATTGCGCATGCACGGGCCGGCACTTGTGCCCATCGCACAAATCGCATCAATGGAACTTCAAGCTGTCGAGTGTGTGAAGTGGACATGCGATACAGCTGCCCATTGTCATTGTCATTGCTATTGTTGTTGTCATTCTCAGTGCTGTTGTTGTTTTATTGCTGCTACAACATTATAAGCAGACTCAAGTCAAGCTCTTAAATGTTATACTTGTACAATAGTCCCGTTATATTACTACTACAGCGCCGAACATTATAGTTTTATTGGTTTGTGTGTAACGGCTTATAGAAGAATACTTTTTGAGCTTCCCATAGGAGGGATTTATATTTGCTTGTCATTCGCGATTCTTTCTTTGGGCTTATGATCGCCGTTTCGTTATTGTTTATTGTTAAATTTTCTATATCAAAACTTTAGTATTATATCTATCAACATTCAGAAATATTACAACTTCCCATTAAAGTACTGCAAAGCACATTTATTTAATGCCTTTCACATGTCTGCAGTTGATTTGTATCTCATTCCCACTCACTGGATATATTCACTAAAGTCGTTGTGCATTATTTATGCATATTAAAGCATTCATTTCTTATACTGTTGATTATCAACAATTAATCATTTAAAGTTGCTGCTGACCACAAAAAATGTACGTATGTATGTACATATATAGTCGCATGTGAAGCCAAATTATGCGGCTGTCAATTCCAGTGCACTCGGCAAATTTTTATTAAAATTCACATTACAGCACAGATATCCTGACAAATATAAATACACTCTCTCTATCTCTCTCTCGCTCTATATATTATATTAATGCTCGTATAGCTTACATCTGTATACAATTTACAATGTGCGACCTTTTAAAAGCGCAGTGGTCTGCATAATTTTCAATTAATTATTAAATATTCTTCATGCATTATCAATGGGCTAATAAGAAGTGTTGTTGCTGAGGCAGTAAGTGCTCCTGCTCCTGCTGCTGTTGCTCCTGCTGCAGCAGCAACTGCTGCTGCTGATATGCTTGCACTTCCGTTTATTAACAATGTTGATATTTATATATAATATATTTTTAAAACTATTTATTATTACATTTTAATATTATTATTGATATATGCATTGCATGGAATACCCTTTAAATATGTATTGTAGACAAAGGGGTAGCTTGTCGTTATAAATAAGGTTTGGATAGTAAGAAATGTTGTGGCTTTTAGTCTCAAACGAATAATCTTCTAGTTTGATAAATGTTATATATGCATACAGAAGCTATATTCCATGTAGTCGGATATCTTAAAGTGCTATTAAGCAGAGAGAAATAGGAGCAGTTTTTCTATCTAACAGCAGTATATCTTCAATAGATTAAGAGCTCTTATCCCAAATTATTGTAGCTCGAATCGCTTACAAGTCCAACTGACAGCTTGACAGTTTACAGTCAGTTTGAGCAGTATCTTTCAGTCGTGCCAGCTCAGTTCCTTTTACTGGCTTTACTGGCAAATAAGCTCTTGGGGCTGTAAGCTCATTGAATGCTCGACTGTGCTTAAAAACGGCTTACAGGCTAAGTTCCAGTCGAGCACACTTATCGATCAGCTATTTGATAACTGGCACATATGTATATACATATACACATGTATATGTATATAAATATATGCATTTGTATATATACTCTTGTAGGCGCATAAGTATTTTCACGGATGTGTCAGCCGTTGGTCGCCGTGCAGCATCCGTTGCAATAATAACTTTGTTTTTCATTTAAACGCATTAATTTTGCAAATATAAAAATACTCTGCAATGGTTAAATGGGACATGGGCGACTTTTGGGTTAAAAAATGAAAATGTCCAGTTAGATATATACCACTTAAAAATTCTACAATTTATTCCATTTCATATATATTTTTTTGCAAGTTTCCTGCTGCGTATCTTCTCGTCGTCTATTCCTGAAGCTTGTCACATTTTTGATTGCGTAAATTGTTTTCTTATATGATTATTAATTTGTTGTTGTTGACTTCACACATKTTGCAAATTGCGTCAATTGGATCCCTTTTGAGTCAATTTATTTATGCAACTTATTTGCAATGCTTACAGTTTAAGTAAGCTTTCGATGAAGAGAGAGTGTAGATCTAGATGTGCACATATACAGCTGCGAAAAATAAAATAGCACCACTTGCAAACGCAAAGTTTAAGAAGTTCTCCTAGGTGCATTTATCAATGTATTGATCTAATTTTTTCTTGTATATAAGCAGAAAACAATTAATAATCGCAACAAGCAAGAATTATCCCAAAAATATTAATCGTTTTTATATAATTCAAAAAATTCTCAAAAAAGTCGTAAAAATGCCGAAAAAAATAATAGCACCACTAACCCTTTTCGAGTGAAAATCTATATTTTTCGCAGATTTGAATATCTTCAAAAGCACTAATTGATGAGATTTGTTGGTTATATATCTATTTTGATTAAAAAATTTTCAGAATTTGTGAAAATTTTCAAAAAAAATGGGTCGTGAAGAGCATTACACCACCGAACAACCCAATCTCATCAAAAAGTTGATTTCGGCTCAAAATTTTCACAGGAAAGTTGGTCATTTGANCAGATACACAGATACAGATACACAGATACAGACACCGATACAGATACAGATACCGATACACAGATACAGATACACAGATACAGATACACAAATACAGATACACAGATACAGATACAGATTCAGATACACAGATACAGATACACAGATGCAGCTACACAGATACAGATACACAGATACAGATACACAGATCCAGATACAGATACAGATACAGATACTGATACAGATACAGATACCGATACAGATACAGATACATATACAGATACAGATACAGATACAGATACAGATACAGATACAGATACAGATACACAGCCATCTCCTTGATGAATGCATTTTTCATATCACTGCTTATTTTCCCAAAAAAAAAAACCGTGAGTTTTTCCGACTTTGTTAAAAACTTGTTGATAATGAAAGTTAACTTTAATCGTTAACTTTTTTTGCCAAGTTAAAACTGTTTCACTTCCTACATTGAACGTTAATTTGATAGCAATTTAACTTTTCAGTTTGCACAACAATTTTTTTATAGACTCTGATTATTCCATGAAATGATTTCACTTCAATTGAATTTTAGAGCATTCAACGAATGTTGCAACAAAATTTGTTAAGTTAAAAAGTCTCATATTTAGCAAATCATCAATTTTGATTTTAGCATAAGCAATTTAATTTTTTTCATAAGCATATTTAAGTAAATATTTAATTGTTTTTAAAACTAAAAATATAATTAAAGAATTTGCCAACAAAAATGTTGTCCTTTTCCTTTCTGCGTTTCGACTACTTAATATAAACCAGCACATAAATAACTGTACTATAACTGCACTATAACTTTTATACTATATATTACTTGAAAGAATAGTTTCTCTATATCACCTTTTAGTGATAATTGCTCCATAAGACTTAAGAAAATTTAAAGCAAAAAGCTAGCTAATCCCTTAGCCACTTATGTTGCCAAAATTATTTGAGACTCCCTCTGTTTCTCCCTCTATCCTCTTCTCTCTCTTTATCTCTCTAGATATGCATGCTAAATTCTTGTAGCTCTGCAGTTTGTTGCATTTGATCAACAGCAAAAGAATAAAAGTGTTTTAGGTGACAATTTGAGAAAATTGCAATTTCAAATTAAAAATGTTCTACAACAGGCATGAGAATCAACAACATATTTGACAAACACTTGAAAATACACACGCCAGCTGGCAATTGTGTGTTTGTGTGTATGTGTGTGAGTCTGAGTGAGTGTGGGAAACTCTGCTCTGCTATTGTCACAAAATTGCATTTGGTTTATACATACATTTTAATTAAATGAATTTGCAACACGTGAAGAAATTGTCACACACTCAGGCATATACACATAGTATTGCATAGTATATCACACACATACATACATATATACACACACTTMTATATACGCACGCACTCAGCTCAAAATCAAAAATTTCATTCGTTTTGTGTTTTTGAGGAAATTGCAAATGTTGCTCAGGCGTTTTGCTGTTTTGCTGCTTTGTCGTTTGTCGTTTGCTTGTACAGCCCCGCCCACTTCACCCACTGCCTTTAACTGTTTGCTATGAACAGCAGTTGTTGCTCTATTGCTAATGAGCCTCTTTCTCTATCCCTCTCTCACTCTTACACTTTCTCCTTCTCTCTAAATTGTGTTCAAATAAATATCGTAAATCATTTATGTTTTTAGTTTTCTTTATATACAAACAAGATTTACTGTCTAGATTTAATTAAATTTGTTCGTATTTTTTTAATCGTCTTCCTCCTTCTTTTTCAGGTCAAGCCCTCGGACTCGAAATACTTTACCGTCGAATTGATTGAGCAGGCGCATGGCATTAGCAAATATCGTGTGCGTTTCTTTCAAGATTTTCCACTCGATGAACATTTCTATGTGCTGATTCATTCGCCGGAAACAAATCAGAGCGTTGAGGTAAGTTTATTGTTACAAAAGGTTTGCCAGTTCACAAAAAAAAAAAAAAGAGAAAAGAGAAAAGAAAGAGAAAACTGACAGTCAACTAGCTGAAAAGTTGATAAATTGTTAAAAAAGAAGTTTGAACTCGAATTTAATTTATTGCCTGAATTTGAGTGCTCCCAAACGAATAATTGGACTGGAGTCCTTTTTCTTTTGGCCTGTAAACATTTCGTGTGTTATAATTGGACATGTGAAGCGTTTTAGTGTGTAGAGAACTGCAATGTATAGATATCCCTTAAAATGCAGAGGAACTGCTTGAATTTGTCATTTATTTGCCTATCTATTTGGCAGGCTGTATGGATCAATCTTTCCTAAATGTTGAAATGTTATATTAATATTATTTATTCTAGGCAACAAAATTTTAAAAATCTATCGATAACCTACTGAGGTTTGTGTATATCGATAAATACATATATCCAACCCTACGAAGTTCTGCTGTGCAGCCTATGGGTATACTATATAAATTATACTACAGAGCATATACTACATGGGGTATACTACCTAAGGTAGACTACATAGGGTATACTCCATAGGGTATACTCCATAGGGTATACCACCTAGGAGCATATGTGTCTATCCCATATCTTCCACATATAAATAATGATATAAATATAAATTATTCTGGTTATCCATATACAACATAAGCTACAAATATCCTATGACAAGTTATATCATACTATGTATATCACTCTGGGTATGTCTGGGTTGTCATAGAGGATACACATGACAACCAATACTACATGGGGGAAATCAAACAGGGCATGATTTGACTATGCAATAAATGATGCGTGATAAATCCAGCTTTATATACAGGGTATATCATACAGCGCATTTCACACAGACAAAATACTGCCAAAATGCCATAGAAAATAAAACGCAGTCCACACTCCGCTTCAATTTGTGTTAGAAAATTGATTTGCTTTCTTTCGTATACCCTACACAGGGTATTTTACTTCTCTCTCACGTACTTTGAATCAATCGAATATATCTATGTTTTTTTTATATAATTGAGCAAATTATGTGAAATAAAAATAGTATATATATATCTACTATATTCATTTATTAATTTTGCCCGAAATAACTGTTCAGCGGCATGCTTGGTAGAGTATTTACGTTTCGGTCTCTCCTTCATCATCGTTTGCTTATTGTTGTTATTCAGTTGCGTCACGTTATTTTGTAATATTTCACTAAAAACATTTCAAATGCAACATTTTGTGTACATATTCCGCTACGTTTTCAATTTCGCCACAAAATTTTGTTTATTTTTGCTGCAGCAGGAGACAGCAGGAGGCAGGAGGCAGCAGGAGGCAGCAGGCAGGAGCAGCAGCAGTAAGCGCAAATGTAAATACGCTGCCATTGGCATTTTTCATTGGTTACCTGATGCCATTAGATAGTGCAAACAGACTGATAGCAAATGCCCCGAAAAACTACGACTAGGTGGCGCCTTCCAAACCGTGGAGGTGGTGCGCGTATCAATTTGTTGCTAAAGTTTTTTCCACCATTTCCTGTGGCGCCTCTCCGCACACAGCAATTGAACTTCCTGTGCACGTGGCCAAATGTTGTGGCCAATAGCAGGAGTAGTAGCAGCAGCAGCAACAGCAGGAGCAGGAGCAGCAGCAGTAGTTCGTGCTGTTGTTGTTGCTGTTGCATTTAAGGCAGCCAAAAGGCCAGCAAGTAGACAACAACAACAAAAAATAAACCGGAATTGCATAAATAAGTTTCGTTTATGTACAGCCGGGCGAATGGTCAACAGCGAAATGGCGTATATCTCGGCTCAGTCAGCTCCATTCCATGTCCATGTTACCCTTCACAAATTGCATAAATTTTCTGGGTAGGCAGAGCTTCACGCACACACACACACACATAGTGTGAGATTGAGAGGGAGAGTGTTGTAAGAGAGGGATAGCCCTATTTATTCCCCATTGCCCAATGGGTTCATCTATAAACGCTATCTCGCATACAGAGCTGCACATAAACAAAGGAAAATGTCGTTAAGTATGCCTCAACTATCCATTCCCCCAGCTCCGGCATACCAACCATCCCCGCCATCGCCTCCATCCACAGCCTACCCCATCTTGTGGCCATTGTGTCTGTGTCATCTGTGGTTATGTGTTCATCCAATGGACGCACACACATCATGTCTATAAATTCAGTACCATAAGTCGATCGCTTGTTCGCCGTCTCGCAAGCGTTGCACGCTCATTTATTAGCCCCCTCGGTAAAGCCGCCATCAGGAGACTCACTCTGGTCAGTTTTCGGCATTCAACTTTTCGCTTAAATCGTTGAATCGCTCAACGCATTTGCGCAAATCTTATGAAATGTTCTCTTAATTCCAGCTATTTTTCAATTGGGATAAATTCGAGAACAGTTAATAAAGGTTAAGTAGTTTGGAATGTCTTCCTTAAAGGAATTTCTTGATCTAGAATATAAATGAATTGAGTCTATTTAATAGTAATAACCCAATTAATTTCCATCGTAATTTGTCATTTGGCTTAATTTATCAACCCAATTTACTCTATCGAAGTTAGCAAACGCGACTAATTTTAAAGCAGTTTTTGAGGGTTTCAATTTTCATCTTTATAATTCTATTTAATTTACGTTTTATTGTAATTTTGATATATAATTTTTTAAACTAAATATACTTTTTTAAAATTTTATTTAT